GTCACACATATGTAAATTTTATTCAAAATGTACAACATCACCCTACTGACTGTATTACCACAAATGGCCTGGACTCGCCATACTTTGCCCTGGGGACGGGTGTGCACCAGGGTTTCCCACTATCGCCTCTGTTGTTTAATCTTGCTATCGATCCATTACTGAGAGCTCTCGAGAAGCTGCAGGGGTTTAGGGGCATACCGATGGGTGATGTTACACTGAAAGTCACAGCATTTGCTGATGATCTTGTTACTCTTTATCACTGACCCAATGGCGCTCCATGCCACCCCTTGTTGACTTGCTAGAAACATTCCGCAACATGGTGGGCCTCAGTGTCATTTGGGCCAAATCATGTGCCAGTGAGCACCCTCCGCCGCTACTCCCTCAAAGGCTTCCTTTGCAGTGGCAATCGGGGGCACTTAAATATCTTCACATTGAAATCCCTAGAGATCTCTCCCTTGTATACAAATGGAATATTCCGCCAATCATAACGGACATCTTTGCATAGTTTGAACATTGGCACTAGTTGCCTTTATCTTACATTGGAAGGGTAAGATAAAATTGGTCAGTTTTCCTAAACTGTTATATCCCCTCCAGGTGCTCCCAATACTCCTCTCGAAAAGTGAAGAGTGTTTGTTGAACAAACATCTTAGACATTTTCTCTGGCAGGGATGTAGGGCCCGCCTTAACCTTACTTAATAATACCAGCCCAGGGCCTATGGTGGTCTGAACCTGCCTAATGCCGGGGAATACAGTTTAGCAGCACAGCTTAGGCATGTGTTAGACTGGATTCAATCCCAAAACAGATTTTCTAACTTGTCCTTGGAGTCCTGGCTGGCATCACCAAACCCACTCGTGGCTCTCCTTCACAGGCTGCAACACCTACTGCCTGACTCTGTCCTATCTAATCCCCTCCTGGCTACCCCTATCAGGGCCTGGAAACAGTCTTGCTCCAAATTGGGTGCTGATCCAATATGCACCATTCACCTACCTTTAACTTATAACCCAGATTTTTTTCCAGGTGCTCACCTCCCTTTCACTGTGGGCGGAGAGTGGGATTGCCACCCTCCGGCCTTTTATAGATCATGTCGGCCAGAAGTTTCTGTCCCTTGCTGAGCTACGGGAGCGTTTCCCAGACCTTCTACTTCCATGGTTCGCTTACCTTCAAACACAACACTACTATAACACCATTACTTAACACTTCACACCTGTTGACTGGGAGAACCCTCTAGATGCCATGTGCTCTTCTGACTCCAATTCCTAATCCATTTCCAAACTCTCTAAGATACACAATAACACAAAAATAAATTCAGCGCAGAAGAAAAGTGATAATAGTCCAAAAGCAGCTTGAACACCAATACAGAGTTTTCAAACACATTTGATAAACCTATCCAAGGAGAAACGCGTTAAGTGTATTGTTTATAACTTTTTTATCACTATTATATTTTATCTATTGTATTATTTTTTTAATATTAAAGTACTTTTTTAATTGGACCTAACTTTGCTGCTGTTGGATTATTTGGCGCTATATCCCTGTTGGGGATCATACCACCCAAGCGCTTTGGATTAAGCTAACCGGAACTTGCTCTTTAACTTATTTATTTCTGCTTACACTCCATTTTACGGTGTACACTATTGTGGTTCTGTTTGTTTATCTCCACATATACACGGACGGAAGAATTTATATTTGCACCTGTATCCTTGAGTGGGGATCATACCACTTCAAGCGCTATCAGAGGAGCCAGGTTTTACGGCTCGATTACACGAGTGTACATTTTATTGTTTTTACCTACCCTTGCTTCATAGCTCTACATACTTCACCATATACAATTTTTATTTGTTTATTTTTTATGAGGATACCCCCTACCAAACCTATAATTCGGAGAATTACCTCTGCACTTGATCCATAGGCGGGGATTATTCCGCCCAGGCGCATACACTGGAGCTGTATTGAAGCTCCAGGAAAGTGTGAGTGCACATCTTTTATTTTACCTATCACCACTACAGTTTTAAATACTACACTATTATTTCTTCTCTGGTTCTCTCCACATATACCTTGTCAAGGATTACTGAAGCGCTGCACCTACCCCCCTGTTTTTATCCAAACTCTATAAGATACTGCAATATTTCCCGGACTGGAGCAGCTTACAAACAGGCATAGGGAAGTGGAAGACACATTTTTGAGACATGCTCACTGCACACTTTACCCATAGCCAGACACTACCAATGGTGTTTTATAGGGACTTGTTCTTTAAAACTCTACACTATCCTACTTAGAGATGCAGACATCATAAAACAAATAAGTAAAAAGATAGAAGAGTATTTTACTATTAATGATTGCCCAGATTTGAAAGCAAGCACCATTTGGGCGGCCCATAAGGCTGTAATAAGGGGGGCATTCATTCGCCTTGCGACCAGAAAGAAAAAATTAAAACCCCAAGCCTTAGAACGATTTCTGTCAGAGTTGCAGACTCTAGAGCAGACACACCAATCCAACCCGGACAGGGAAATTTTCCAACGTTTAGACGCGGTGAGACATAATATCCGAACCCTACTACTAGAGGACACAGCCAAGGCCATGACATACACGAGACGGACATTTTATGAAAAAGCAAATAAGATGGATACTTTCTTAGCCAGAACCCTAAACCCCAGACAAAGACGCACACACATTACTTCGATTCGGCATCCAGACGGAACTATCAAAACCACCCCGGTAGATATAGCCTCGGTTTTCACAGAATTCTATAAAAGGCTATATAACCACCCACCAGGCGCGAAGGGGGGGTAGAGACACAAAGGAGATACAGATTCAGAGCGCCCAAACTATCACAAGAAGCTGTAACCACCCTAGCAGCTGAAATAACAGAGGACGAGATAGATCAGGCCATCACAGCACTTAAAGGGAATAAGGCCCCCGGGAGGGATGGCTTTGACGGAGGGTATTACAAAACGTTCTGGGAAGTCCTTACTCCTCACCTCCTTAAATTATTCCAGGAATTGAGGAAAGGGGGAATACCCGACAGGGACCTGTCCCTAGCCACCATAGTGCTACTACCTAAGTCCGACAAGGACGCCTGAAAGGGTTGAAGGGGGCTCCTGCAACTTGTATCTGGGCTCGGACATTACTATACATGGCCCTTATGAGTGCGGTATACTCCTTGGGTAGCCCAAAGTGCTTCACAGATCCCTCCCCCTGCCTCCCGACACGGAAGCAGTGCTTGCCACCACCGGACCCCAAGGATGGCTGCGTCCCCCCCTCCTTCATTAAAGGTAAGAAGGAGGGAGGGGGGATACTGATTTAGCATACTTTTTTTTTTTTAACACCTTTACGCCAGCCCCACACACACAGCACCACTACCCCCCACACGCAGTACCCCTACCCCCACAAACAGTACCCCTACCCCCACACAGCACCCGTCCCCTCACCCACACCCAGCATCCCTCCCCTCCACCCAGCATCCCTCCCCACCCCTACCCCCCCACACACACAGCACTACACACACACAGCACCTACCCCCCACACACAGCTCCCCTACCCCCCCACACACAGCTCCCCCCACACACAGCTCCCCTACCCCCCACACACAGCTCCCTACCCCCACACACAGCTCCCCTACCCCCACACACCCCTACTCCCACACAGCACCCTACCCCGCACACACACAATCCCCCCACACACACACAGCACCCCCCTGCCCCCCGCACACACAGCACCCTACCCCACACACAGCACCCCACAACACAGCACCCTTACTCCCGCCCAAGCACCCCTACCCCCCACCACACATCACCCCCTCAACCACATACACAGCACCCTCACACACCCCATAGCACCCCTCCATACACACACACACAGCACCCCTCTGTACACACAGACCAACACCCTCACATTGCACACACACACACACCACCCCTCAGCACACACACACACACACAGCACCCCTCACACACACACACACAGCACCTCAGCACACACACACACAACTCTCATACACACACACACAGCACCTCTCATGCACACACACACACACACACTGCACCTCTCAGCCTGCGGCACCCCTCACACACACAGACAGCACCCCTCATACACACACACACACACAGCACCCCTCATTCCACACACACAGCACCCTCACACACACACACAGCACCCCTCACACACACACACAGACAGCACCCTCATACACACAGACAGCACCCCTCATGCACACACACACACACACACCACCCCTCATGCACACACACACACACACCACCCCTCCTGTGCACACACACACACACCACCCCTCATACACACACACACCACACACACACACACACAGCAGCCCCTCATACACACACACACACAGCACCCCTCACACACACACAGCACTTCTCATACACACACACACACAGCACCTCTCATACGTACACACACCCAGCACCCCTCATGCACACACACACAGCACCCCTCATGACGCACACACACACGGCACCCCCTCACACACACACACAGCACCTCTCACACACACACAAGGCACCCCTCATTCACACACGCACAGCACCCCTCACACACACATGCACAGCACCCCTCACACACACACACACAGCAACCCTCACACACACAGCACCCCTCACACACAGCACCCCACACACAAACACATACACTACACCCCTCAATGCAGTTTGTGTGTATTCAGCAGTCTGTTTGTGTTAGCGTGTATTCAACAGTCTGTGTGTGTGCGTGTATTCAGCAGTCTGTGTGTGTGTGTGCTCAGCAGTGTGTGTATTCAGCGGACTGTGTGTATGTGTGTATTCAGCGGACTGTGTGTGTATGTATTCAGCGGACTGTGTGTGTATGTATTCAGCGGACTGTGTGTGTGTATTCAGCAGTCTGTGTGTGTGTACTCTGCAGTCTGTCTGTATGTGTATTCAGCAGACTGTGTGCGTGTCAGTATTGAGGTTTAATTGCCGTGTTGGCACTTTAAGGAAAAAAAAAGTTGGCATGTAATGCGGTTTGGGCACTCAGGCTCAAAAAGGTTCGCCATCACTCCCCTAGATGAATCTTTCAAGACCAAGGTGAAAACCACTTTGGCATAGACGGCATGGTTCTCGGCTGAGGTGGTGACGGGTTGAGATCCCCTGGCAGTAATTCCTTGATGGGCATATCTCAACATATTCTCGAACACTGGCTTACCATTGTGTTGGAGGGCCGGGGGCTAAGGCAAACTGGCAACTAGTTTACTATGTTCTGTTTAATTTAGTTTGGTCTTTCTATTCACGCTTTGATAATGGTTTAATGGAGCAATGAACCGTAGACCTTCTCTGGTGTACCTTCTCCTGCTCTTATCTGATAAAATGCAAACTATTGCATACCCAATGTATGTTTCATTGCCCTGAGCAACAACAGATCATAGTCCCTGCGGTGGGGGCCCTCAATAAAAATGGGGGACTATATGTATACCAATTAAGTCCAGTGTATACTAGTATAATTTGTAGAAAAAAGAGAGCTATCTCATCCACCACTAGAGACAGGGGCGGGCTGGGCCCGGGGGCAGGGAGGCAATTGCCCCCCAGGCCCCCCTAAATCCTTTTAAGACCGGCCGCTGCAGGGACGGCCCTTTAAATGCTGCAGCCGCCTGAGCGCTCTGTTAGGGGTTTGAGTCCTATAATTGTACATCCATAGATAATCTAGTGTGGTGAATACACTCTAAAATATAACTTTTATTAATAAACGTTAAAACGTCCCACGGTGGGATCTATAGTATTAGTCGAAATATAGGATCCTAAGAAGTGATAATAAATAGAAAAAAATAAAAAAATAAATTTTATATATATATATATATATATATATATATATATATATATATATATATATATATATATATATATATATATATATATAAATTTTATTAAATATTTTACCATGGATACATTGAGATTTCTCTTGTTTTCAAGTATGTCCTGATATATAAGTATATTAGATAGAAAAATAACTGTTAACGTATCAAAGTATCTCTCTGAGTGGGTGGGATTTGATTGGTATCAATGGTTAATAATTTACATTTAAAAAGATGTGAGGACAGGTATCCATTAGTTTAGATAGTGGATAGTAATGTATTGAATATATAACTGTTGCAACTATGTATCACTTAACTCTGTAAGGAAGATTGATTGTAACATGTCCAGCGGTTTAGATGTTTGCCCTTAGATAAAAGTAGTATAGGCAAGGGTAGTTAGACTTGCAGACCGATGTCTGTGAATACTAATATGGGATTAACAGTGAGGGTGCATGTTGGTCCTTAGTCATGTCTAAAGGTAGATTTCTAATCCCTACATATTTAACAACCGGCACATGTCCCCTTCATGTCCCCAAATGAAAGTTTAGAAATAGACACAGGTTATAAAAGTAACATGATCACTGAACCCAAGAAGTTTTTAGAGAAATCAATTGTGTAAATAAATACACAAGTAAGTAGTATAATCTGTGAAATATTTTAGTTTGAAACATCATACACATATATGTGTGCGTGTGTATGTATATATATATATATATATATATATATATATATATATACACATATGCTGGTATTAAAATGTTTGGGGTCACATCATCTCAAAATTTCATGTTTTTCAATGAAAAGCAGATATTTGTGTTCATCAAAGGGACCGTTAAGGCACCATAACAACTTTATCCAAATGAAGTTTTTATGGTGCTAGGAGGCCGCCTGGAGGCACTCTTACCTCTCGACGTTTCCTCCAGTGGCAATATCAGCTCTCAGCCAATCTGTGATCCACTATTCACAAAACTGGCTTGGAAAATACATGTTTATTTTCAAGTTAATTTTGTAAATGGGGAGTCACTGGTTGACTGAGAGCGTAAGCTGATCGCTCTCAGCCAATCAGTGGTGCCATTCATGCTTCCTGAAGGTAAAATTTCAGAAGTTGGAAAAAACTTGATTTTAGTGGAAAGTCTACAAAGGCATACAGAGGCCCATTATCAGCATCCATTTGTCTTGTGTTCCAATGACACATTGTGTTTGCTAATCAAAGTTTATCGTTTAAATAAAAGCGTCCTTTAATCATTAGAAAATCTTTTTGCAATTCTGTTAGCACAGCTGAAAACTGTTGTAATGATTAAAGAAGCAATAAAACCGGTCTTCATTACACTAGTTGAGTATTTGGCGTATATGCAATTGTGGGTCGATTAAAGGCTCAGAATGGCTGGAAACAAATAATTGTTTTCTGACACTCGCCAGGCTATTCTTGTTCTGAGAAATGAAGGCTGCAATGGTAGTGGTCATGATGGTAGTAGTACCCTAAGGCTCTTTCCTGTTAATGGGGCAAACCGGTTTACAGTGGATTGCCGGTTACCTAGGTCCCTGCCTAACACTGAGTCTACTAGGAAATAATGGAGCTGTGTATAGTGAGCATACATGGTCTCTAAAATAGCAGGTAATACTGATCAAATTGATTCTTATTTTATTTATTTTTTTAGCTACTCAGGAAAGCTTCAATAAGTTCTATTGTTTTGGTGTGTTTTTGTTTTTTTCATTTTGTTTTGTTTTTGGAAAGAAGGCTTAGTGGATCAAATGGTAATCGGGTTAGCAAAGGTTCTAATCCTCAAACTCATTTAAGAACATTGTTAAATATTTATTGCTTTTTTCGTAGTACTTAAACTAACTTTCTCTTAGCGTTATAGATTTTATTTGGACCTGCAAAGAACTTGATCTACATTTTTCTTCCAATTAGAGTTCGACATTCATGATGAATCGACAATGCATAACAAATCTTTTAAGGAGTTTAATATTAATTTGCCTAGCTGATTAAACTTAGATGCAATATGTGTTTTCAAACTGGCCCTTTACGACAAAAGGCTATACATATTTGTGTGACGATAGTTGCAAATAGTTGATTAGGAAACCACTTATCTGCTGTGTTATAAAGGATGCTACTTGATAGGGTTTATTCACACTATTTACCTTAGCTGTACAAAATAAATATGTTCAGAGGCTGATCTGTATTTAACAATCAAATAGTAAACAAGCTAAAAAACAATATTAAAGGACCACTATAGTGCCAGGAAAACATACTCGTTTTCCTGGCACTATAGTGCCCTGAGTGTGCCCCCACCCTCAGGGACCCCCTCCCGCCGGGCTGGATGGCAAGGAAAGAAGTTAAACTTATCTTTATTCCAGCGCTGGGCGGGGAGCTCTCCTCCTCCTCTCCGCCTCCGATCCTCCCCTTCGGCTGATTTTCACAGTGAGAAGCACGCAAATGCCTCTAGCGGCTGTCAATGAGACAGCCACTAGAGGATTTAGAGGCTGGATTAACCCATTTATAAACTGCTATGTTTATAAAAAAAAAAAAAAAAAGGCTAATCCTAGCTGGACCTGGCACCCAGACCACTTAATTAAGCTGAAGTGGTCTGGGTGCCTAGAGTGGTCCTTTAAAGGAAAAGTGAAAACGCACTCATAAAAATAAAAACTTTAAAAATATTTATGTGTATCTGAAAGTACAGGTCTCTGGGCCCTTGAAAGCTAATGACTTGTCCAGTGGCCCTTAAGTAAATTGACTTTCAGACCCCTGCTTTAATCTGCTGGTTTGTAACTTACATGTATCCCTGAACCCCTCTTAAGGACAGAAGTGATGTTATATTCATGTGTACCCAACTGGTGTCACTTCCTCTTTTCTTCCACTTGTAGGTTGTAGAACACTCAGCTGTAATGTTAAGAGGTTTTCCTCTTATTTTAATGCAAACAAGTGAAATAAATAATTTTAAAAAGGTGCTCGTCTAAGGACTACCCCTTGTGTATGGAAAATCTGAGCTGACAGCTGCTGGTTAATTTATTTCCATGATGGTATCAAAGATCCATTCAGGAATGTTAGGGAAATATAATCTATTTTACTTTGTATCAGTGTTATGTTATAGGAGTGTATACTATATAATGTGTCACATACTACTGTTATCCATTGAATTTAGGTTCTGTGCAATGTTTTCTTGCTCACTATTCTTGTGATAATCTTTGGTGTTCATTCTCTGTCTGTGGAATCAGCAGGATTATTTAAATATATTTTCGACATGCAGTGCAAACAATAAGCGGATTTAAATGGAGTTTAGAAATATTATATATTAAGATTGTAATCTGGAGTCTTCCTTCTTGGATAAATCCTAGTGCCCCACATTTATGTTTTGTTATTTTTAGTTTACGTTTTTTTTAAATTGAAACAAGTGGCTCAAAGCGTTTTCCCTGTGGAAACATATTTTGTTTAGATGGCTTATTTTAAGGGGATTTATATAGGTGATGTTTTTAACCCTTTAAGCTTCAGAAGCAGTACATACCTTTAAGGATACAAGGTATTTTTGCTGTTTGTGTTCAACTGCAATTTACATCTCTCTCATTTATTGCATCAACACATATTATATATCGTTTTTTAAATGACAAAATGGGCTTTAATTTGATGTGACATATTCATATATATAAAAAAAATATTTTTCACAGCTTTGGCAATAATAGTGTATTCATCATATATCCAGCTTAGGAAAAGTGAAAATAAATTAATTTATGTGTCATGATTTACAAGGTGCATAATATGTATCGTATTTCAGCTTATTTTAAAAGTTACAGGTCACAAAATACATGGAGTAATATGAAATTGCAATAAAAAGTTACAGGTCACAAAATGCAAGGAGTAATATAAAATGTCAATGTGAAATAATTTTAGAAGTTGGTATGTTTGACTTGTAAGTTTAATAGCCATCACAGAAAACAAAATTGCTACACAAAAGTATATATTTATATAAAGTAGACATCACAGGCTATTTAAGGGTGTTTTGACACTTTTTTCATAGACATTTCACCACCAATCTCTGCTAAATATTGTAGTAAAATTGTGTTTTTTCTGTTTTTTGACATACACATATAAAACAAGGTGTTTTTAATGTGTATATTGTAAAGCTGCTGTGTGCTATTCCTGGTCAAAATCCCATTTTGTGTTCAGCTACATCTGCTGAATACAACAATACCCCCATTGTATGCCTTTGCCACTATTTTGGGAAGCTACAATGACATAGAAGAGGCCAGACTATTTCAGTTTCTACAGTTAGAAAATTCAAAGATGGATTTGATGGACCTATGTCTTATTTTGGGGCATTATAGTAATTTGGTTGTACAAATGACCACACAAAAGCCTTCCATTCGTGAAAGTAGACACTCCAGGGTATCTTATATG